ATTAACTCAAATTCTTGGTTTGGCAGTTCAGAACTGCAGATTCCCACCACTCCTCGGAAAAGGAAGAAGATGAAGTATTTTTTATTAGGGTAATATTATTTAGTGCGTATTTACGAATAATATTACTGTACTTTGTGCAAATAATTATTACTTCGAAGAATGGATGTTCCAACTTTTTTTTATCATTGGCTTCAAGTCTCCTCTTGATTTGATTATATTGCTAACCAAAAATGAAAAATGAGGTATGAATGATAATATCGAAGTAGTAAAGGAATAATTTTTGTAATTGATTTTTAATGTTCCGTGTCAACTCTTTTTATTAAGAAGTTTTACTTGAACTCATCCTCTCTGTCTCTCTAAGTGCAGCTCGGTCCTTTTAGAACAATAACCCGTGAAAATAAAGATTCGAACTCACCACATTTTGTCCTAAATTAACAAGTTGAGGTGAGTTTAGATTGAAGTCATGTACTATCTTTCAAGTCTATTAATTTATTTTGCAAAATTGAGATTTAACAACTAGATTAAATAAATATGTTATTAACTATTTATACCTTTAAAATATAATTTTTCTAAAATGATTATCAAATGAAATGTTTGCTACTTCTACTTAAAAAAGAATCACATACATCAACTTGTATTACTAATTAATTTTAGATGTAAATTTTTTGCATCTAACTTTATATCTGAAAATAATAAATTTTGTTATTAAAAACAATTTCATGCTATTTTCAAGGTTCATTTTCAAATAATAGACAAAAACGAGACTTATGCTTCAAATACATCGAAATGAAATGAAATAAATCGCATAAGACTCGTGATATCAACTAATCAAAAGATACATGTTTCCAATAAAAAAAGTCATGAATTAAAATCCTCCTAAAAAAAGTCGTGAGTTCAAACCTCCTACTAAAAGAAAAAAAAATTATGACTTCATTCACATGTATCAAAACGTCATTATTTCCACTTAATGTGAAGTTAAACATTTAAAAAACAAAAAAAAAATGCAAAAGACGTGTAATTAATAACATTAACCTTTCTTCAAAAAAGAAAAAAAAACACATTAATCTCACAAAACTAAGTTTCTACAGTATAACAAAAGATAGGATAATTCGAACCTCCTCAAGTAAGTTCATATATTATTGAAAAATTATTTTAAGAAAACACATTATTTTGAAAAAGAACCCTTGATTATCAAAAACGAATCCTGTACATGCGACTCTAAAACGGAGCACAGCCACACAAATGGATTCTTCACAATGTAGGAAGGGTGGCTAAGAAGCAGAGCCTCTGAAATACGTTTTACTCAGATCACCAAGAACTGCCTCCAACTACAATGTTTTTATCAAATCCTCACATCATCAAAATTCATACTTGATAAAGATGGGGAAAAAAGGCCTACTAAAGAAAGAGAGAAACCTACACACAGCTTATACTTTTGCTTCTGCTTTAGTCACTGGCGGCAAGAAAGTCTCCCACCATCCATATTCATACTTGGGATAAGGAGCCACCCATTTTTCAGGCTTCTCGAACTCGATGTTGGTCGGGTTAGAAGCCATTGCTTCTTCAAAGCTGTTGGCTTCGTAACTTTCTGCTAAAACTCTGTCAAGTCTCAGCTTCATGAACCTGCCATATCAACAAGAAAATGGGACCGAAATGAGCCATCAATCAGTGCAAGAATGTGGTAGGAATGCTATTAGGAAGGAATTATGAATATTATTAGGGTATTAAAGGTATTTGGGAAGCGGTTAAGGGGATTTGTTATAAATAGAGTAAGTGGGAAATGATTGAGGCAAGCAATTGTTTAGTGCAGTTTAGTCGGTAAGAATACTCAAGAGTTTGGTCCTAGTACCTCGAATTACTTGAAAGTCATTGTGGTTGTTCTATTTTTTACATTTAAATATATTTCCAGTTGTTTGAGTTCTATCAAATTGTTAAGAATTTGAAGCTTCTGTTATGGTGGCTGTAAACATCTAACTCTACCTATGATACGGCACATTACATAAGCATGTGGCAGTTTACATGAAGTTATCAAAGGCAAGAAGATGAGTTTCCAATTCATTTAACTAGACAACTTCAAAACAAGATGAGTTTGCATCAGTGTAACTGAACACAAATTACAGATGGAGTTAGTGTATTCTGTTAGCATATGCAAATTGCAAAGCACTGGAAAATTGATGCATTGCAGTTGTTGATTATAGTCAAGCCTCTAATAGTCCTGAATATCTGTTAGCTAGCTAGCTGTTTGCTTCCAGACATCTGCAAGCAGGAGTTCATACCCAAACATCTGCAAGCAGGAGTTCTTCTGAAAGACCAAGCATTTGTTCTAGTTTCCCAAATCCATCTTCTTTTTGCAACTAAACATGTCATATTTTTGTCTCATTCTCTTGAATAAAAACTATTAAGTGTATATATAAGCGAAAAGCATGCTAACAGGCCTTTAGGCCTCAGATGATCAACATTTTTATGATAAAATATCCGAGCCAGTGAGCTGAAAGAACTAAACATATAAATGCAAAAATGATGAAAATGGGACTTAAGCATAATTCTTCAAGTTGTTAGATATTAGTGTCATGTCTCTCTTTGTAAGGTTGTAGGTATGAATCCTCATCCTAGTAATATTGTAAAGAAAAATCAATAATGCAAATTGAAAACAGGTAGCTTACGTAATCCAGGTACTATTGGTCGAAACAAGTGCAACGGCAGGTCTCTGCAATCTCTTGGTGATATTGGGAAACTTTTCCAAGAACTTAGGCTCGATGACCAGCCAAAAGTCCTGCTCCTTGTTACGCTCGCCATAGTAGCGAAGCCGCTCGAAGAGGAGCTCTTTGAAATGCTCCTCCTCATCGAGCATGAATTTTGCATTCGCAACTAGAAAATAATACTTGTTTGCCTCTTGCTGCATTGCAAAGATCATAAAACCAGTGAACTTCGCTACCACAATCCCAAATTTCCAGAACGAACTAGTAAGAGAATTAGGATCCAAATCGCGATTAAATATAAACGACTTAATTTCGAAAACACGTACAATTTCACTAGATTCCATGGATGTCAGCAATTCCGAAAAACCTAACCCTCGATATATTGCTTAATTTATACCTAAACTTTAGCAATAAATGTACGTCGTCGGAGTTCTAGAAATCGAGGACAAGCGAAATGCGCAAGAAGCTCAGAAACTAACGAACGATTACCTTGTCCGCCGGATCGGAGGACACGAGTTGATTGGAGTTAACGGCAGCGATTGCTGTGCTGAACGGCGAGGAAGGAGAGGAACCTCGTGAAGGCAAGAAGCAGGAGGTGGAACCGGAAGCATTAGCGAATCCCAACGGCAATGAAAGCGTTCGGCAGTGGGTATGGTGACTAGCTCTGGCGCTCGCAAGGGATTTAACAGCAGCAAACTGCGCCGGCGTAACCATGGCGGCAGAAGATGAGCCCATAACAAGATTCACAGTGCCCAACATTTGGCCAACTGATTCTGATTGCAGAGATTTTGGGCAGAGAAAATGGTTGCCGTTATAATGGCAATGGCTAACTAAATTAATCAGCGAAAATCTACAGACACAGCGACGGAACCTTATCTAGTTATCTATTAGAAGGTGAAGTTACCATCTTGCCCACTCTACTATCCTTTTTCCTATATATAAATAATTATGAAAAGGAAGAGTTTTTATTTTCTTTTTTCTAACTTTTTGAAAAAGAGAAAGTAAGCAACTTTTATTCATGTGCTCCTATTTTTCATTTGATCCCTAAATTTTTAGAACAAATTTATATTAATGGTAAATTTTTAATCATTGCCATAAAAGTACTAATAAAAACATAATACACCACTAAAAATAAATATTACGACAGATAATGTAGCTGGTTGATTAAAGATATATGAAATTAATACTAAAATAGGTTCCTTTTCACATTTTTTTTCATGGTAAGGCGAGAATTGAAATATTTGACATGCTTCAACTGAACAATGTTTAGATTGGTTTAGTCCGACCAACGAACGTAGTAGTGCAGTCCATCCTCTAGAAATGATTGATGTAAATTAGAATTCCCTCTCTTTATTTTTTATTTAATATTATTCTCAAGCAAAAATCCAATCCACAATCAAAATTTTCTTCATGAGTACATGAGTAATGGAGCTTGTGCAGTAGAAGACACTGAAGATTTCAAAATGGCATGGCTATTTGAGTTTCCATTCCATTCCATATTTGATTGAACAAGGCAAATATATTCTTTACTAGTTTATAACTCAATTTCAAAATTGAATGGCAGCCCCCAGAAACAAAAGATTAGGGATGTTAATAGTAGTTAACCCCTTTACCTCTCTAATTAAGGAAGGGTAATTAGTTAATCTCTACTCAGACAATCCTCGAGGTCCAAATCTATGCCCACCCGATTTTTTATATTCGCGGTGGCGTCGAGAGGCGACTTACATTTTTTCTGCAACTCCTTGAATCTGCAAACATCAAAAGAGTGCTTCTTGAACAGCTTCCTTTGCCTCGAGAGGAAGAGCCTCTTCAACAGGTCCTGGTAAGTGGGATCTCTTGAAGTGAACAGGAAATAGGCATAGCCTATGACTAATCCAGTTGTTGTGGTGAAAAATGCAATTGGTTCCATTACATCCCAAGAAAATTCCCAGAATGTCAGCCTGAAGAACAGTCCAACTTGAAGGATGGCAAACCCTAGCCCAGTCCACAGGATTCGTCGCACCTGCTTATGCGCCAATACATCGATTTCTTCTTTCTTTTCCTGCAGCTGATTTAGCTCGCACCTTGTTGGGTCGTCATCGGGCATCAAAGCAATGGGAATTGCCCGTCTGACGAGATCGACCACCTGCAAAAGAATGAAATCGAGATTAAGTTTATATAGTCAAAAGCCATCAGTGCCACGAAGAAGCATGACAACAAGAAGAGAACATATATGCTGCTTCAACCTGTGTACAAAATGCTAAGCTAATGTTTACATATGATTGAAAGCAGATAAAAAACTTCTGTTTTCGATTATGTTGGTGAGCATATAATCTGGGAAAAGAATCGGGATCTCGTCTTTGCAGTAGAGCCAACAGGGCATATGCTGACAAATGCTAAACCAGCATCAGGGATATGACCTACTGAGCAACGAGACTGAAGCTTCTAGCATGCACTAAGAATGTGAATATAATGACAACTCAGAAAGATCAAATGTTTGATTCTCACTGAACTACCTGTGGATATATTCAGTCCCCAACAAGTTATTTATTCCGTAGAAATAATTGTTATACGAATTATCAGCATGGTCAAATCACAAGTATACCAAATAGACGGTATGTTCTAAATCATAATAAGATGTTTAAATGACTTTCATCTTCCTCTTGTTCTCTCCTCTCTTCTTCTAAACCCAAATATAACTGCACCAACTAATATAGATACGTTCGCCTATCCGCTTTATGTCACTCTAAAGATCATACATACAAGGACCGAGCAGTAAGTTCCCCACGGCTGACAAATAGTTCTTGAGCTATGGATAGATGACAACAGAGATCCTCAGCTGCTACTCAGAACTTCAGTGTGTTGAGAGAGATTGTGAAGCCTTATCGGAAAAATATGATTTGGTAAAACTTTGTTCTTTCGTGAAACGTGCTTCTGTGGGAACTTGAAATCCCAGAAACAAGGCTCATACAGAGAATTAATCTAGTAGACACACATACAGCTTGGACATAGGTGTGAAATAAGACGATCTAGAATCTCAGAACAAGAAAAAGAATACTGGCTCTTCAGAGCTGCCAATCAAATTTCTTAGCATTCAAAACCCACAAAACTGGAAGACAACTTTGCTCACGTTATAAATTAAAAACAAATTAACGAAGAGATACACTCAGTTTTCAATCCATGTCAGCTCCGCCTCCGCCCATGTCTTATTCAACTCAATCTGTTATACTTTGTAAAGGGGCCAAGGAAGATGTTGGACGTGTATGTTTTCACCGTACCTTTTGCAAGAAATTTGGATATCCCTGATGTTGCAGTTTCATATTTACTGAACCTTTTACAGAGACACAAAAAACGACATTACTCAAGTTTTATGTCGGCATAGGTCCTGAGGGAGAGCAAGAAATAATGTGGAGAAATGAGGTGCCCGTCTTGAAGAATATGACTGGAAAGCAATCACAAAATTTTTAATAGAAAGGACCATCAATGGGATGCAACTTTTGACTTTGTTATACTTTGTTCCTCTTGGTCTTCTTTTTCCACCTCTACTCGTAATTCTATTCCCACTGTTCTAACACAAATATAGGGGCTATTTGTAAGTTTCCTCCAAGGGTATATGGAACTTTTAACTAATTCAATGGAAAGTTTGGCTCCTCAGATAATAATAAATAAGTAAATAAAATCCCAGCCCGAGCTATTGACTCTTGGAAGTTGAAGTATGAGGACAAAGTTATGACAACAAAGATATCAAAAGAAAGCATAAACTACATCACTAAAATTCATCTCAAAGATAATAAGCATCCTTTTTAGGAACAAAGATAACAAAATAATACCTCAAACCACTGTTTGCTGTAAAAGTAGAAATTGAACATAGAAATCCTAGGCGGTAATGGTTTTCTTTTCTACCTATTCAAATTTTCCGTGCAGGTTGGCCTTGCTTTCTTTCTTTCTTTCTTTTCTTGGGTGGCTAATTATGAAAAGTACCCCATAGCTGGTCTCCTTCTTGTAGTCGGGTTTCTTATGCGTTCCACCTTTTGGTCGACCTTGCTTTTGGTATTGTACTTTCATTCATCTAAATGAAAAGCTTGGGTTTCCACTAAGGAGAAAAAAAAACGTTCAAATCTTCTAAACACCCGGGTCGGCGGGTCCTCTTGACCTAGTAGACCCCAAAATTTTGTTGCCCGAATGACATGTTCCATTTCCTAAAACTTTTTTAGAGGAAGAAACAAAGACAAAAACAATCCAAAAAACAACAAGAACATCCAACTTACCCCTTCGATTTGTCTTAAATTCAGAAGAAGAAGAAGAAGAAATCATATTCTAACCCTTTTTGTGAAAATTTCTGGCTACCTCCCGTATTTCAAACACTAAATAAACTGAAAAATTGAATGAGAATGATTTATGAAATGACGCAGCAGTCACATCATGATGAAATACATTGATTAGAAAAAAGTTCGTCCCCTCCCCCACCCGTTTTACCGACCTTATCAGGATGGAGATAGACCTTATCTCGGAAAAGAAGAATCACACCAGCCTCATCGAGCACTCGAGCAAACGCCGCAGCTTCTTCATGAGACCTAGCAACGCCCATGCTTTCGCAAGCTTCCAAAAGCTCCGAATATCCAATGGCCTCCTTCCCATCGGTCCCTAGCTTCATCTTCAGCGCCTCAACATTGACCAATCTCATCAGCCTTTTGGCCTCCGTAAACGAAATCGTCTCTCTGTCATTTCCCGCACCAGATTCCTTACTCGCAGGGCCGCCACCGTCACTCTTATCTCCATCGCCACCAGCTCCTCCAGCAGAGTTTGAAGAATCCACAGACGACGAATACAGAGCCACTCTGTTCAACAACCAGGTCGACGACCGTACCGCCGTCGACGGAATCAAAGAAACTCCCCCGAGCCCTAAAGTTCCAGTAGTCGGAACCAAAGGAGGTGTGCGAACACGATTCGCCAACAACCTTCGATTCAACAAACTAGCAGAATAACACCATTTCCTCCACATCGTCCCGTGCCCAGAGCTTAAAAAAAACTGCTTATACCTTCAATCGTCGAAACCGAAACCAAACATTCTTCGATCCATCGTGATGTCGGAATCCTCCATACATCCACTGAGAGAAAGCAAGATCTGAATGAATTACAGATTGAAAAAGATGAACAACAATGGCAAAATGGTGGGGGCGGAGGGAAAATCGAAGTGGGATTGATTGAATATTTATATATTTTACTGATTCCGATTCGTGCTTGGTTTCACCGAATGGATGGGCGCGGAGAGAGCGAGTAAATGGCGTGGAAGGGAAGGGCTTGGCCAGTCAAAACCCTACGCGGCTCTTTCGTTTTGTTTGTTTTCGGACCTCGCGGTCTGTTTTAGACCGCGTAAAACGCTGCCGCTCGTTACTCTATTCACTATTGGAGAATTTCTTTTCTCTTTTTGTTTTTTTCGTGCCACTCCCCAAAAAGCTAAAAAATAAAAATAAAAATTATTTAGTTAGAATTGTATTCTATTGTCTTTGTTAGACTTATATTAAAAGTGGGTTTTTAAAACTTTGTATTATTATACTTCATTTTAATTTACATTGTTCATTTGATAAATAATAGGTAATAAACAACCATGGTTAGGTCAAAATAAACTGAAAAGTTCAAATACCAAATCATATTTAAACTATATATCTACTTTCAATTTAAAATTTCATATTAGCCAAATTTTAATAGATTCATATCATGAATTCAATGTGATTTGTATAGAAGCACAGTAATAAGATATTGACAAATTTAGGTCCATCTCTAGTCAAAACTAGTGGTACTTTTAGCCTTCACCAATAGAATATTGGTAAATTCAATTACCAAAATAAAACTATTAACAATATAAAGATAAAATTGATTTTTCTCAAAAAAAAAAAAAGAAGATAAAATTGATTTAAACGAGAAAGGTATGTATATAAATACATGATCTAATTCTAACCTGTTTATGTCAACGTAGACATAGATCAACTTATTAAGACGTATATCTTCGAAGAGAAAGCTGGATACTAGAATTTCCGTCCCGAAGTAGAAAAAACAAACTTTAACATGTGACAATCACACAAAAACATAAATATATTACGCAGGTGAAAATAAACTATTTTATATCAACATGGTCATAGCTCGTAAATTAAGTCATACACTTATCTTTTTTAAGTTGAAGGTTCGAAATTCAAATTCACACCTCACATTTGATATACTAAAAAAATATATTTTACAATCTCATTCGTTTTCTTTATAAAAGATAGTAATCTCATAGGACATAGAGTATTAAATTTTCATCGACATGTCGACATTTTCATTAACATTTTTATATGTTTATAGTTTTGTGACAGACATAAGGGATTAATTGATATTTCTATAGTATTTAAAAAAACGACCAATAAATTTAAAAATATCAATAAATATTAACAATATGGACATAAAGTATCACCAATTTTTTATTTATTTAAAAATAATAAAATGCATATTTGTTATGAAAATTTTATCGTTATAGTAAAATGTAGTTTTAAAACAATTTTCTAAAGATCGGAGACCAAACGGTAAGTTTTTTAAATTTAAGGACTAAATAAAAACTTATCTTCAAATTCAGAGATCACGTATTTTATAAATATGACCACTAAGAGTTACACCACAATGGTGGTGACCACGCACCACAATCAAAATCCATAAAGGAAAACAACTATTCCAAAGACTAGAGAAACGATCAGGAATGACACATTTTGCTAAGGACGGGAGAATCATCGATTAATGAAAGGATCTTCTCAATACCATTAAGATGCCAAAACGAATATAGTTCAACAGTAATTCGAATATATCTCCAATTAAGAAAGAGGTTGTAAGTTCGATCTCACACCTCACGTATTGCAAAATTTCCAATGTGCGTTACTTTATTTATTTATTATTATTATTATTTTTTTTTGAAAGTCGCATTCGTATTAATTATTATAAAGGAGAAGAATAGCAATCATGTTAAATACGCCTTGCACATTCCGTTACCGACGCCAAGACGCTTGTTCACGCACCAGCAATTACTGATAAACGTGGCAGGATTTGCAATGTACAAAGCCAATAGATTGCCGACACGTGGATGTCGGCAAAATAAAGTCAGAATATAAAATTTATTCCCAATTGGATAACACTAGTGGATGGACCTCACGTTATTTTATTTTCTTTATTTTTATATGTTTTAGAAAAGAAAAAAGTAATACAAAAAATATGGAGATAAGATTAATAATTAAGTTGAGAAAGTGGTATAGAAAATAATTGTTTTAAATGAACTTATCCTATTACATGATTTCGTATTTTTCTTGAAAATAATAAGACAGCAGATGGAAGGAATCTACGTGTGGAAGGAAATTATTGAAATGGGCGGCAACAATGAAATTATCCTTCTTTTTTTCTTTTTTTCTCTTTTAAACTAAAATATACATATATATTTCATATTTGCATGGATTAATTTATTACAAATAAATCATTTTTAAACTATAATAATGATTAACTAACTCCACATTAATTTTCCAAACAATACAAAATTTGGGGACAAATTAAAAAATAAATCGACACAAACTAATTAGGTCGATTAAAAAAAGTAACCAAATATTTAACATTTAATTTTAATTTTAAAATGATTAAATAAATAAAATACTATGTGATGTCTAAGTTATTAGAAATATATCACTTTAGTTCATCAAATTCAATAGTAGAGTTAAAAAGATTCATATACCAACAAGGCTAAACCAATCCCTAGTTGGTCGATCCATATGAATCTATTGAAAATTGATTCATCGACCAAAACCTATATATAAGTTTTAAAAAAGGCATAGGCCATACACAATTACACATGATGCATTTTCGATTTGAGGT